ACCAGTTGCGTTGCTTCTGGGAGTATGGGTTCGAGTCACTTCTGGGGTGTGAGTTTTCATTCGCATATAGTCCTGGGGACCATTCAGGCTTGTTCGCATATATATATATATATATATATATATATATATATATATATATATATATATAATAATATAATATAAAATTCTATTGTTGTTTACCTGTAGACATCTGGTCGCTGGGAGTGATCTTGTACATGTTGGTATGTGGTCACGCGCCCTTCCAGGAGGCCAATGACAGCGAGACCCTCACTATGATCATGGACTGCAAGTACACCATTCCTGACTACGTGTCCGAACCCTGCAGGAAGTGAGTACTGCACCTAACTTTTGTAGGAGGGTGTTTCTGTGGGGGGGTGGGGGGCAAGAGAAGCTAGAGAGTTGGAGGGGAGAATTAGCATTGGGATATGGTGTGAATTGGTTAGGGACATGTGGCTTGGGGTAATATATAATAATAATAATAAAAATAACAGTAGTCCTCTAAAAAAAAATATTTTTTTATATATTAACATATTTATGTATATCTGCATTTGTGCAGCTGCCCTAGATTATATGAAGGGAAGTACAGTGTGTGTGTGTGTGTGGAGCACTAGCTAAGTGATATCAAAACTCCCCATCACACAGGATAGTTAGTCATACAAAGGCATGTGATAAGTAGTCTGCACTGGCAAACTCTGGGTGCATTATGAGGATATCATCATGAACACGAGAATGAGTAAAGTAATTGCAAAGTTCCAGGTACCTCATGCCAACGGGTCTGAATGGACTGATAACTCAGCATTCAATGATGTAGTGTACAAGCTCATGCCCCAGTTCCTGTTCACAGGAAGAGGTCAAACTCAGGAGAGGTCATTGTGGGGAACTCAGACATTTCTTTAAGGAATTTGACTGGAAAGACTTGCTGTTAGGACATGAGGTAAATGAGATGTATGTCAAGTTTTGTGAAATATATGATAAAGGCACAACAAAATTTATAGCAAAGCAGAAAGGCAGAACTAGGAAACAAGATTGGTTCAACAGAAATTGTGAGAAGACTAGAGACCAAAAGACACAAAAATGGAATCAATATAGGAAGAGGCCAAACCCCCAAACATACCAGTGATACAAAGATGCGAGAAACAACTACACGGCAGTGAGGAGAGAGGCAGAATTTTTTTTTTAAAAAGGGATTGTGGACAAATGTAAAACAGAACCAGTCCTATTCTATAAATTCATAAATAACAAATTGTAGGTAAAGGATAATATTCAGAGGTTGAAAATGGGAAACAGATTCACGGAAAATGAAAAGGAAATGTGTAAAACATTAAACAAAAAGTAAAATAACAACATACTGGAGTGAACGACATGGAAGAAAACGCAAAATAGAACCAGTGAAGAACAAGCACAATCAGAGAACACTATATAAACATCAGAGGTCCACGGTTGTTCAACATTCTCCCAGCGACTATTAAAAATATTGCCGGAACATCTGTGGACATCTTCAAGAGAAAACTAGATATTTTTCTCCAATGAGTGTTGGACCAACCAGGCTGTGGTGGGTATATGGGCCTGCAGGCCACTCCAAGCAGCAGCCTGGTGGACCAAGCTCTCACAAGTCAAGCCTGGCCTCAGGCCGTGCTTGGGGAGTAGAAGAACTCCCAGAACCTCATCATGCTGGTATCAAGCAGGTAAACACAAGATCCCTGCAACTGCTTTAATAACTGTAGTGTTAACTGGTCTGGATCTACTGCTTTTGCGCTATCCCATTCCTCCAGGTGTCTTTATACCTCTTCCACATTAACATTAGTTCTCTCTAGTGTTATTTCTGGCCATGCTCTGAAGTCCATATCGTGGCTAGTTCTCTGAAAACCTCATTTTTACATACATACACTTTAAAAACGGTTCATTTAGGATGTAAGTGTACTCGCTTAATTGATCTTGCAGGGTCAAGCATCTGCTCTTAGGCCTGCCTTTCGACCATCATTAGTTCAATGTAGAGACTTTTTTCACTTGTTTTTCTTTTCATAATTACATTTAAAGCTGTGTTTTGAATTAGTTTCAATACTTTCCTCATCTAGTTTATTTCACTTATGACTCTCAGACTGAAAAAGTTCTTTCTGAAATACCTGTGGCTCATCTGTTTCCAGCATCCTATTATGTCCTCTTGTTCTACTGTTCCTTAATTTGAACATTGCTTCTATATCTACAGTACTTTGTCAATCTTCCCATAGTATCTTGTCCATCATTATCATGTCTGCCCTATTCCTTCTTTCATTCAGAGTAGTCTAGTTCCTTCAAGCTTTCGTTCATAGCTCAGTCCTCTGTGTGTGTGTGTGTGTGTGTGTGTGTGTGTAATTACTTATGTGTAATTACTTAAGTGTAGTTACAGGATGAGAGCTACGCTTTATGTGTGTGTGCTTATATGTGTAGGTGAGCATGTACACACACAAAGAAAGATGAAAGCCACAATATCATGGGTAATAATGTTTAATTTGCTTTGTTCATTGGGGATTCAAAGTCAAGCCTGATAAATATATTATATAGTAACACATTAATAAAATAAAAATTAAAATAAACACAGCACATTCATAATAACTTGGATAAGTTTAGATTTAGGAAATACATGGGAAAATACTCGTTCAGTAACAGGGTTGCTGATTTGTGGAACCAATTACCGTGTAACATACTAGAAGTAGGTTCCCTTGAATGTTTCAAGGTTAGACATATATATGAATGAGATTTGTTGGATATAAATAGCTGCTGCCTCAAATGGGCCAATAGGCCTTCTGCAGTTACCTTTATTCTTATGTTCTTATTATTAGGATTATTCTGTTCTTGTATTTTTACCAGATGCTCATCCACATTCTCTTCTTCAGCTTGATAGCTCGAATGTTAATCCGGGACCCTGGGAAACGCTCCACCTTAGAAGACATAGCGAGTGACCCTTGGCTACAAGAAGGCTGGACCGTGGACCCAGCAGAGGTGTTGCCCCTAGTGTCCCGGCAACACCTTACGGAGGAAGACCATGCTCACATCATACACAAGATGGTTTCTGGGAACATAGCTTCAATGGAAGAGATTCTTGAGTAAGTTTTTGCCTTATGCAATTTATTTGGAATTGTTGCTGAAAGGAAAGCTTGTTTTCAAGTGTTTCATATGGGAATACTGTACTGTATGCTCTGTATTATTTATTTATTCATTAATCTTTTCTTGTACATCAAAGTCTTCAAGATAGATTGGAAAACACCAAACTGTAAGATGAATGTTGTTTACTTGTTGTTGTTGTTATGATACTAAATTTGTTATACTATTGTAAAGTACAATACAATATATACAAAAAAACTTTATGTATAGAAAATAAATTTGTTTATATTCAAAGTTAGCTTTATGCTCTTAGGATGTACATATTTTGAATTGGTACAAATGTTATCAAACTGCATATAAAATCATATTTTTTCAGTGGGCTAGACAGGAATGAGTACAACCACATTACTGCAACATATTTTCTGTTGGCGGAGCGCAAACTTCGAGCACACCGTCTCCAACAAGCTGATCTGGCTAAGAATGCTGTCACCAGCCCTGTGATGTCTGTCAGGTACACAGAGTTAATCTTATTCAATATAATGCTTTTCTGAGAGGAGCCCCAACGGCTCCCTGGAGCTTATCGGGCTAATGTATTTTATATTAGTCCAGGACATTAGCTATGGAGTTCGGACCTACCAGGGACCACGAGCCAGAACCTGGCCCCTTCAGAGAGGTTTCAGGGAGCAATGGCCCTGGAAAACCCCTTTGAGGTTGGGGGTTTTCCTTATCTGCCATCGACCCGGGGTTAGTCACCCAGAAAGGTGGGCATAACAAAACAAACCCCACATGGTAAGAAACTAACAACAAAAACAGAACAGAGAGGTAGACCTCCCTTCAATCCCAAGGAAACAAGCAAATGTAACACACTACTGCCGTGCCGCTCGTCCATGCAGCCCTTCCCTCCTCGAGAAGGGGAGGGGGAGGGGGGCGGACCTCAACGCGCCGGCTGCATAGCACTCCAGTTTGTAAGCTAATGTCATCCGGGACAGACACTTCTCTGGCCTCAGTTTCGAAGGCGGTGTTTGCCTCCATGGCACTCACTGCTGTTATTGTGTTGTGTGATGGCAAGGTGTTCCTCATCTGTACTTGGGCTGCATCACCAGGCAGCCTAGAGGTTGATGGTTGGGCCTGTTTCTTCGGATGCACAGTACGATGCATTATTTTGCGGCTGTGTGCGGCTTATTTTGCATGCCCTGAGGAGGTTTGTCTTTCACCGAGCTCCTTGCTCTGGCTTTACTCCAACTGCTTCCCAGTGGTTCATTGCCTGAACTGAGGAAGGCTGTGCCGGGGTTTGTTTCAGTCCATTATCCTGTGGAGCTCAATGCTTCAAATTGCTCAGCTTCTGGATTCTTGGGGCTTGGTTCTCTGCATGGTTCATGTGCAGTGTGTGTGTCCATCTTTCTCATTGTGTTATCTCACTTTCACCTCATTTCCTTTCGACCATCATTAGTTCAATGTAGAGACTTTTTTCACTTGTTTTTCTTTTCATAATTACATTTAAAGCTGTGTTTTGAATTAGTTTCAATACTTTCCTCATCTAGTTTATTTCACTTATGACTCTCAGACTGAAAAAGTTCTTTCTGAAATACCTGTGGCTCATCTGTTTCCAGCATCCTATTATGTCCTCTTGTTCTACTGTTCCTTAATTTGAACATTGCTTCTATATCTACAGTACTTTGTCAATCTTCCCATAGTATCTTGTCCATCATTATCATGTCTGCCCTATTCCTTCTTTCATTCAGAGTAGTCTAGTTCCTTCAAGCTTTCCTTCATAGCTCAGTCCTCTGTGTGTGTGTGTGTGTGTGTGTGTGTGTGTAATTACTTATGTGTAATTACTTAAGTGTAGTTACAGGATGAGAGCTACGCTTTTATGTGTGTGTGCTTATATGTGTAGGTGAGCATGTACACACACAAAGAAAGATGAAAGCCACAATATCATGGGTAATAATGTTTAATTTGCTTTGTTCATTGGGGATTCAAAGTCAAGCCTGATAAATATATTATATAGTAACACATTAATAAAATAAAAATTAAAATAAACACAGCACATTCATAATAACTTGGATAAGTTTAGATTTAGGAAATACATGGGAAAATACTCGTTCAGTAACAGGGTTGCTGATTTGTGGAACCAATTACCGTGTAACATACTAGAAGTAGGTTCCCTTGAATGTTTCAAGGTTAGACATATATATGAATGAGATTTGTTGGATATAAATAGCTGCTGCCTCAAATGGGCTAATAGGCCTTCTGCAGTTACCTTTATTCTTATGTTCTTATTATTAGGATTATTCTGTTCTTGTATTTTTACCAGATGCTCATCCACATTCTCTTCTTCAGCTTGATAGCTCGAATGTTAATCCGGGACCCTGGGAAACGCTCCACCTTAGAAGACATAGCGAGTGACCCTTGGCTACAAGAAGGCTGGACCGTGGACCCAGCAGAGGTGTTGCCCCTAGTGTCCCGGCAACACCTTACGGAGGAAGACCATGCTCACATCATACACAAGATGGTTTCTGGGAACATAGCTTCAATGGAAGAGATTCTTGAGTAAGTTTTTGCCTTATGCAATTTATTTGGAATTGTTGCTGAAAGGAAAGCTTGTTTTCAAGTGTTTCATATGGGAATACTGTACTGTATGCTCTGTATTATTTATTTATTCATTAATCTTTTCTTGTACATCAAAGTCTTCAAGATAGATTGGAAAACACCAAACTGTAAGATGAATGTTGTTTACTTGTTGTTGTTGTTATGATACTAAATTTGTTATACTATTGTAAAGTACAATACAATATATACAAAAAAACTTTATGTATAGAAAATAAATTTGTTTATATTCAAAGTTAGCTTTATGCTCTTAGGATGTACATATTTTGAATTGGTACAAATGTTATCAAACTGCATATAAAATCATATTTTTTCAGTGGGCTAGACAGGAATGAGTACAACCACATTACTGCAACATATTTTCTGTTGGCGGAGCGCAAACTTCGAGCACACCGTCTCCAACAAGCTGATCTGGCTAAGAATGCTGTCACCAGCCCTGTGATGTCTGTCAGGTACACAGAGTTAATCTTATTCAATATAATGCTTTTCTGAGAGGAGCCCCAACGGCTCCCTGGAGCTTATCGGGCTAATGTATTTTATATTAGTCCGGGACATTAGCTATGGAGTTCGGACCTACCAGGGACCACGAGCCAGAACCTGGCCCCTTCAGAGAGGTTTCAGGGAGCAATGGCCCTGGAAAACCCCTTTGAAGTTGGGGGTTTTCCTTATCTGCCATCGACCCGGGGTTAGTCACCCAGAAAGGTGGGCATAACAAAACAAACCCCACATGGTAAGAAACTAACAACAAAAACAGAACAGAGAGGTAGACCTCCCTTCAATCCCAAGGAAACAAGCAAATGTAACACACTACTGCCGTGCCGCTCGTCCATGCAGCCCTTCCCTCCTCGAGAAGGGGAGGGGGAGGGGGGCGGACCTCAACGCGCCGGCTGCATAGCACTCCAGTTTGTAAGCTAATGTCATCCGGGACAGACACTTCTCTGGCCTCAGTTTCGAAGGCGGTGTTTGCCTCCATGGCACTCACTGCTGTTATTGTGTTGTGTGATGGCAAGGTGTTCCTCATCTGTACTTGGGCTGCATCACCAGGCAGCCTAGAGGTTGATGGTTGGGCCTGTTTCTTCGGATGCACAGTACGATGCATTATTTTGCGGCTGTGTGCGGCTTATTTTGCATGCCCTGAGGAGGTTTGTCTTTCACCGAGCTCCTTGCTCTGGCTTTACTCCAACTGCTTCCCAGTGGTTCATTGCCTGAACTGAGGAAGGCTGTGCCGGGGTTTGTTTCAGTCCATTATCCTGTGGAGCTCAATGCTTCAAATTGCTCAGCTTCTGGATTCTTGGGGCTTGGTTCTCTGCATGGTTCATGTGCAGTGTGTGTGTCCATCTTTCTCATTGTGTTATCTCACTTTCACCTCATTTCCACAGAGTGAACTGCTGACGCCTCTGCTTTCCATTGGCTTTGAGAGACATTTGGTTGCCCCCAGGGTGGACCTCTTTGCATTGGCATGAAACTGCCACCTTTCCTCCTACATGGCTCCATTTCCTGGTCGTGGGGCTTTCACTGTGGATGCCTTTTGACTAGACTGGTGGAGGTGCATTTGTCTTTTTCCTCCGATTCAGTTGTTAGGCTGGGTTCTGTCTAGTCTGGAGTCATTCTCAGGGACTGTGACCCTTCTCGCTTCTTATTGGTTTTGGTTTCCAGTGCTGCTGACCTGGTGTCAGAACCCGGGTGTTTTTCCATGGCACCGCTTCTTTCAGCAGATTGGCCCGACGGTGTATTTCGCTGGTTCAAACATCTCCTCTGGTCTTTGCTTCTGGAGGTTTTAATGCAAGTCTATCATCATTTGTATGGCAAGCAGGTGGCTGATTTGTTAGTGTAACAACTGTATCTTTTCTCATGGTAGCAGTACGATGTTGCCTTGCATTTGTTTCGCCACCACCTGTCCCTTTGTCGTCTTTCTGCTGTCTCAGTCAAGTCTGTCCTCTCTTTTTTGTCATGGTTGTTTTTCTGCCCAATAAGGTCACCTTTTGTTGTTCAGTGTTTGTGGTGCTGCTGTTTTTTTTTCCTGTTGATACATCCATGCAACTATTTCACAAGTGGTTTCATACCTTCTTTTCACCTCCAGTCAGCTATGAGTCCTCCTGAGCCATTCTGGTCTCTTGACCGTTTTTTTATTTTCTCTACTTGCCTCTGTTTATGGTTTCCCTTCAGTTAATGATATCTTTCTCATGGCTATCTATTTGTTATCTCTTGCCTCTGGCTGTAGGGTTGGTAGCTTCAGGCTCTTCTCTCGAGGGATTCTGTTCTCTTAGCCCTGGTAGGTGATTTGTTCATTTGGAGCCTTCTCCTGTTTTTTTGGCAAAGAATGAGTTGGTGGGCTTTGGGAGGGGTCCCTTGGTGGTTGATACTTGGTTGGTTCTGCCAGGGGAGCATCATTTGTTCTGTGGCAGTTCTTCACCGCTATCAGCAGGCCACTAGTTCTGCCTCGGTGGATGCCTTGTTGGTTAACCCTGTTTCCTTAGTCTCCTATTCCAAGGCAGATTATCTGCTTTGTCATAAACTTCTCAGGTTTGTCATCAAGTCTAGCCTGCCTGCGGTCTACCCTTAGGCCCATGGTGTTCAAATGTACACGACTTTGGCTACAGGCTTCTCCCAACATGTCCTAGGCTGATATTTGGGCTCAGGGCTTTTGGCATTCTAACAGGGTTCTGGCATCCCGGTATTTAGTCAATGTGCCTGGTCCCAGTCAGTTCTGTATTGGTTTAGGCTGTCTTCCCCAGCTTGGATTCTCTTCTTCAACCTGGTGCCTTCTGTCTCTCCTCCTTGTATGTCCCATTTTTGTTTTCCGTGGTTTGCTTCCGAGAGCCCTGGTGGCTCCCTGATTTTCCCCTTTCTTCAGGTTCTTTGGTTTATCATTGGATTGTTCATCAGCTCCAGAACCAAGATGGTGAGCCAACTGAGGACTGAGGCACGGCCTGTCTAGTGGTGGTAGGCAGTACTAATGAGTTTCAGGTTAGTTTGAATGAATCACCTGTTCCATGTAATCATTTGCAGATTTGTTTGATGGTGTCTGGGCTTCACTTTCTGTGAACTCTCCAGTTGTCTTTCAAAGCTTTGCTGACTTTCTGGAGGCTTCTTCTGGTGTGGTGGCAAATTGTCACTCATTCCCTGTGCCTTTGTGAGAAGGCCAAGTTCTTGTTCTGATCCCCAGTAGGACAAACAGAGCAACTGATGTGCCCCTTTAGTATGGACCAAGCTTAGCAAGATAGCTTCAGAGAGCCACTGGGGCTTCCTCAGAAAGAGACATTTCATTACATTTAATGCTGGGATTTTGTGTGTGTCACCCTGATTCAAATTTGAATTGATTTTAATTCTATACTATCTCTTAATTTGTTCATAAACATCATTTTAGTTACATATATGAGTGGTGTAGCAGCTATTTAAGGGGCCCGGTCCCCAATTTTCCAACCTTCGTCAAACATTCAAATTTTTGGTGCACAATCTACAAGTAAATGCTCCAACTTTTCCTAATGGATCAATATCATAACATGAACAGAAAACAAAACAAAAAATATTTGTAAAAATTGAAAATTTCATAATTCCAAATTACCTTCCCAAAGTTAAAATTTCACCAATTTTTATTTTATTCATTATGGGCTCAGAATGGCATATAACATTCATTTTCATTGTGTTCAAATATTGCTTGAGAGTATAGTTTACTGTAAAAAAAAAAGAAGTCTATGTGGCCTTCAAAATATGTCCAAAATTTAGATGCAAAAATTTATAACTCCCAGAGTTATTGGATTATGAATAAGCAAATGCAATGACACCTTAGAACTAAGAACTTTGCATATAATAAGTAAAAATGGTGAGAATCGGTCAGAAACTGAATGTTTCAACATGTCTCAAAGTTGATATTCCTGTTTTAGAGATATTTGAAGTTGAAGTTATCGACAAGAATATGGTAGTTCTAATTTATGAATTTTCTTGTATATTTTAATAGACATTGCTTAGCATTCGTACTCGAATATGTGAAACTTGTAGGTCAATATGTGTTGAAATGAAGTAAATAACCTCCCCCCCCCCTTTCCCCCCAGGAGCCTGACAGTGAGTAGACAGCGCTTCTGATTCATAGTACTGAAGGCCCGGGTTTGATCCCCAGTGGAGGTGGAAACAAAGGGCAGAATGAATTTCTTTCACCCTGATGTCCCCTGTTCACCTAGCAGTAAATACGTACCTAGTTATTAGACAGCTGCTACGGGCTGCTTCCTGGGGGTGTGTAACAAAAAAGGAGGCCTGGTCGAGGACCAGGCCGCGGGGACGCTAAGCCCCGAAATCATCTCAAGATAATCTCAAGATAACCCCCGCTAAAAAAAAACTATTATTGGGATAGGGCTAATGCTTTAGGGATAACAAACATATTTCAGTAACTTTATTGCCCATATATGCTTGATAAGTCCCTCATCTGGTCCCCATTCAGCAAAACAACCTAAAGAGACAAACAGAAAAGCGTTTGAAATCTGTAAATAACTCAGATTAAAAACTTAGAAAGTCACAAGTTCTGCCACCTGTGGCTGATTCATATGTTGACCAATTTCGTTCCAACTTCACATCCTTAGTGACAGGTATGCGTTCTCCAAGATGTAGAAGCCACAACAAAATCAGTTGAGAATCAAAGGAGAAAAAACACAAAAAAATACCCCCAAAAAATACAACTAGTTGACAGCTTCTCGTACAAAGGGACATAAGAAATATTGCCATTGGGCAATGTATATATATGATATTTAATAAAATATAGCAAAATAACATACTTATACATTATTATGTGTGAAATTTGGCCCTCCAGGTGGCATGCGGCACTGCTAGAATGCACCAGCTGCATATCCACTTCGTGGACCCTCCTTACTACTACTCTTCTTCTTAGTGCATTGGACAGGTGCTTGCATCTTTTTATCCTGGCATTCTCTGAATTCCAGTACATAGGTGTTGTTAGTGTTATTATCAGTACCAGTTGCAGCCCGTTGCGCACACATTTATTTGTTAAAAATTAGTATAAAATCCATTTCTTAAAATGGTGAGATGAAATTTTCACCACGCTGATGCCAAATAACGTGAGATTTGTTCAACATTTTTCAATATATTTCATATTTGAACGAATATTTTAAAGCACCCGGACCATCCTGTAAAGGAAAATATAAAACAATAAAACTCAATACAGTATGATTATTTGGCTAGTATTTAAGTGGTGCGATGAATTACCCAAACTAAAAATTAATCATTTTCTCAACAAATTTTAAAATATGAATCAGTAGTTCTCATGTCCCTTTGTATCATCTTAAATTTATTTTTAAATTATTTTATTATTATTATTACTTCTATGTTCAGAAAATGTGGAGGCAGCTTAGATGAAAGCTCAATACAGAGCACAGCAGAGACCTCGAGGTTTATCCAAGCCTCCCAACTGTTTAAAGATGACATGGCTAATGGCATCCTACACAACAAATTGTCAGAGGTAAGATTTTATGTACAATGTATATTATCTTTCTTTCACTTTCTAGGAATCTGTCTTCTGTCACATTTTTTATAAGTGATTTACTGGCACAATATTTCAGAAAATCAGTTTCAAGGTGTGAGAGTATAGTAAAAACACAGCTAGGAATGTTTAACAAATTTGACGCCCTAATTATTCAGTGCAGTAATATAAATAATAATTTAAATGGACAAGAAAGGAGTACTGTGTAGTTTGGTGTTATGCAGATTTTTAAGAAGACACACTGGAGAAATACTAAAAGGTAGAATACTCTGAGGAACAAGGCCAAACAATTTGAAAGTACTACAGTATTATTGATTTATTATCAGTACCCATTCAGTATTTTGCATGAAAGAGCATTTAGTTGTCCCTCTGGTTGTATCTTGCCACGTCTAAATGTTTATGAAAAAAGAATCGAGAAAAACATACTAATGTATAGAAAGTTGAAAAAATAAAAGTGTGAATGCCAAAAGCAATACATTATAAATAAAAGTGTATTTATGGAAGCCTCTAGAAAACTATAAATTCATTTGGTAATTTGGCATATTGTATTTTGAAGAATATGCCAGCTTCTTATTTATCAGTTAGAAAACTTCAGTATGATAATTACTTTTCTGTATTAACCACTGTGATGTGCTGAGTTTATTGTGACATTCCCCCTGTGCGCATAAAATCAAGTGTCCGCAAATTTTTTTTTTATCCTTGTAAAATGATAAATTCCCTTTCCTGAACACATACATATAAAAACAACTAAAAGATTCCACCTACTTTGGCTGTGGGGACATGTAGAAGGTGGGCATTGCGGGCTGGTCACCCCTGCATGAAGCTTCCAGAGGCGGTCGCGCGTGCTATCCAAGCACCGCGAGTTGCCACAAATATATTTTCAATTATTTGTTCTATGTATTTTCAATGCGGTTTTATTAGTTTATTTTTATCGTATATGATGCATATCTGTGTTCTTTACAATATGTGTATACATATTTGTTCATATTAGAAGAATGTTCCTAATGTTCCATGGAACTGTGATACATGTGTCAGTAATGTGTCCACAATAAATGTTTATTGTTACAAGATTACTTGTTAAAAATTCACTAAAATTACAATATGTACAGTTTCACACACTATTTATACCGTAACACACTGTATTACACACTCAGTACTTCGGAAGTGAGTGATAATCAACGAAGATGTCCATGGTACTCAGCGCAACTTCGCTCTTGTTGTACCAGGTACAGATAGATCTTCGCTCCCTGTTCTCCGTTCTGTGTGCTTGCAAATAACGCACTCGCATACACCCTTGACTTTAGTACCTGTAGATGGTATGTAGCCAAGCTTGTGAAACGTAAGGTAGTCTTGAAAAGATTAAAGGAAAAGATCAATTTGTAAGGTAGTCACGAAAAGATTGCTCTGTAAGGTCCCTCACTGGAAAAGATTCAGTCAGTCAGGGAGTGTCAACCAATCTGGAAGAGATTCAAGTCAATCAGGAAGAGTGTCAGCCATTCTGGAAGAGATTCAGCTTGTCTTGAAAATATATATGGAACACACCACCATGGAAGCCACTAGCACTGTTCATCTATGCTACCTATATCAGATGCATCATCACTGAACCCAGAAAATGATTAATTTATGTATCATCTATAAAAATTGGAGATGGCAAGTGTGGCGTTCAGAGCTACAACTGGATACGATCGTTATGTTGTCCTCATCGGTGCTGTATCACTTGCATCCGACCTTTGTGTTAGGTCCTTATTGCACCTAGCTTGATCAATATCATGACCCTTATGTTCTTCAAGCATTAAGGTTTGACATTCACCGACAGAGAGCAATCTTTCAACACCACGTCGGATAGGTGTTTGGGGCAAGAGACGTATTGAGGGGTCTCTTGTCAGATTTCACGAGATACATATTGAAACAGTTAAGCACTGCAACATCAATGAGGTGGAAAAAGAATTTCTTCGTCCACCACAGATTTCGCACACACTCGATGGCACCAACCATCATGTCACATTTATTAACTAGCCGCATATTGACATTGTAGTCAATGACACAATCAGGTTCAGGTTTCCTCATTAGTCGTGTCTTTCTAATGTGTCATGTAAGAGGCAGGTAAAATGCCAGAGTCAGTGAGGCCGGGAGCATATCAGTTCGTCTCTGCAACGAGATGGTCCATGAATTTCATATTTGAATATGCCATAAAATAATCTATTTCAGCCATATCATCACTAGTATAGGGGAATAAGGGTGTCACACCAACATCAATATCATCAAATGTTGGAATGTGTGGGACAAAATTCTCACATTCCTCCCACACAAATACACTAGTGGTTTTGGTTTTGGCGCCAACACCACAGTCAACACCAGCATGAGCTCCACCAGCATGGGCACCAACACCATGGCTCCGTATTCTTGTGCTAGAGCTGCATAAGAGTATGCCAGGAGATGAGTGTGTTATGCGTAGTATAGGCCTACCGCAAACAGCTGATGTCGAGGGCGCACAGTTGTCTTTGTCCTCAGGCTGCGTGAAACACTGGCGCTTGCCTTGGTGTGTTGCTGGGGCAGCAAAACCCCACCTAGTAACACCATAGTTGCATGTATTCAGTTTGTCAACACTGCATGTATCAAAGCCTATGTCATTAAAGCCAGAAAATGACTCATGACATGTAGTATCACCAAATAAACTCACATCAGGTGATACACATGGTGATGGTAACTCTAGTGGTTACCATGGGCAGCGTGGAAGGCCGGGTGAGGCGGGTGTACTGTATACACTTGCAACATCTTCCCCTTGGTGTCCCCATCACTCGAGTCCGACTCCTGTGTGAGGTCTTTTTCAGGACTGTAGTCTAAATCGTCATAAATTGGTCCATCTTCATACAGTATGTCTCGTATTTCCTCCTCTGAGAGTCGTTTTGCAGGACCAAGGCAGACCGTGGACCGAGAGCTCGTAGATGATGTGTCAGACATGGTTGCTTCTTTGAAACTGAGGCTTCCCCAAGCCCTGGGGCATGCTGGGATTTTTTTTTCAAAATGGCAGACGATCACTGGAGGCTTCAGGCATCCATTTCTTACCTATGTCACCATGCGCCACTTTTGAATCGTATGCCATACCTACGAGTACCTTGAGGCGCATTGCGCACCACTGACCTAGTGCCTCAAGGCACATTGCGCTGTGCAGTGGTTAATGCAATGTTATTTTAAATCACATAAAAATGGAATAAATATGAAACTAAATGAAGAGCATTACATCAAGTTTTTTATTCATAGACGACTTTTAAGTTAGTGTTTTATTATTAAGCTTTCCTAATATATGGTGATATACTTTGATTTCTCATATTATGTATAATGATTTAAATATTTTGAGATAGTTCTAATGTTAGAATTATGCAAAGTATATCTTTGATGTAGTGTGGCTCCAAATAATTCACCTCATATATTATACAGATTATGTGCTCATGTTGAATTCTTACAGTATACAGCTTTGGTTAGAAAAGTAGCATGAAGCAAAATCAGTCAAGTTTATGCATGTCTGATTATTCTTACCTAAAGTTTTGATGAAGACCTTTGGCTCGATATCTTCCAGCAAAATGGAAGGCTTATGAATGATGAGCAGGGCTTTGGAAAATTACACGTTCCTCGTCGAAGCACCAATGGATACTCCCCTTTGTTACCACGAATTCGAAGAGAAATTTCGGACTTGTTAGAATAAGATGAGAAGGGGGGAAGCATTTTGGTCAAGTGGGTTGTGGCTTGTTGAGTGATTAGTTGATAACTGCACTAGTTATATTAAATATTGCCCATCTTTTGGAATGAGGAAGGGAAAACATACTGTGCATTTTTAATGGTTAATGGTAACAGTAATGGTAACATTATTAGCAATTTGAGAAATAAATATAAGATGTAAGAAACTAAGAACTAGCTTTGTATAAATTGTGAATGTAAACAAGAGTTCAAATGAATGCACCATAATTAAAAAATCAAAGCCTTATTCATATGCTTTAGAGCATAATAACAGTAATTGCACTTTACATGTTAAAAGAATACTCTGCACACACTTGTCAACCAGATAAAAGCAGCCCATACAAACACTGATTACACAAAGTACAAGCCATCCACAATCTGGATGATACGTGTAACAAATTTAAAGTTGCAGGAAATGTTGAGAAAATCTTCCACTTAAAAATATATGGAGGAAATTGCTCATTATTTGTAATATTAAATAATAGCATATGATAATAATAATTGCACTATAATAAAATAATTGTGATTACAGTACAAGTCAGAGTAATAAGAACACAATAATACAGTAACAGAAAAGATGTGGCAAGTATAATGATACTGATAATAACTATATAATATACAGGTAATAAGTATTCCCAATTACATAATAATGATGATAACATTTTAATTTTAAAGTACTCATCCATTTTCCTTTACTTTGCCTTTTTAGGTTTTGTGTCTGTAGTGTCTCTTTATTTATAATATGCTAAAAAAAAAAGAATTTAAATGTAATACTTGAATGATCACTGCAACTGCATAGAAAGTATTTAAACGTAGATAATAATATACTGTGAGTAGTGTAGGAGATAATATTTTAAGAGTAAAATTTACAAAAAGTAAGAAGTTGCCTTGAAAGGCTTCAGCTAAAGCAGAAAGTATCAGCAATATATCATGGCAATTGCAAGTGTTCTTGAAACTAGACACAATACACAGTAGTGTAAATAATTACATATTATTAATATATTTTGTGTTTCATTCAAACTTCAAATGTTTATGGATTAAGAGGCTTTGTTAATAATACTCATTAACTAGATAGAGTACTGAAGGCCTATTACGTATACTATTATTTTGTTAATCCTAATTAAACTGAGACACTTGACCGAAGTTTCTTGAGTCAAAGTTTTGACACGTTGCAAGTAGCTTTAGTAAACTGGGGCAATAGGTGTGTTTCCCCTTTCTGTTCATGGATTTGAATCTTTTATTAGTAACATTGTTGTTGTGAGAGTGCAATGCAGTTAGCATATTTATTATGTTAACCTTATTTGTTAACTTGTATAGTACTAACACTTGCTAAGAGTGACCTAACAAAAGTACAACATTTTTCAGTGTGTAAACATGTTTGTGGCACTGAATTTGTCTATATACTGGACATAGTTAATATGATGCTTTACCACTGAGTATTTACATCACAGTTAGGGTTGAAGAGCCACTAATTAACAGATGACCTACACATGATAATTAATAAGCAGGGTCCAAGAGCTGGAACTCATTCCCTGCAAAGACACATAGGGAGGTGCAGAGGTAAGTGTAATTGTACATACCCACCCACTTGCATGTGTGTGCGTGCAAACACAAAACATAAAGCAGTTGGAATAGAGTCCTACAATCAAATAAAAAATAAAGAAGAGATTACAGTACTGTATTGTATTATGTCAAGGCAATTGGAGGTATATGTGCATCATTGTAATTGTCTGTTTCCTAACTTAATCATTCATGATCATGCAATTTGATACAACATTACTATTCTAAACTGCAGCTTGTGTTTTATGTTTAATGGGACCTTTTCGTGTTTTTGCCCTCTCTGTCTGACCACCTCATGTTTGTCTTCACTTTTTAGTTTTTATATTGCTAGTATGGTTTAACAAAATATTATTTAAAGATTTATACTACAATATAAGTGTTAGTATATATATACAGAATGTGTATGTATGTATGAGTACCTATATATCTTAGGTACTCTTATTCCTGCTCTTATTCATTCTGTACTATATCTGTGATACAAAACACAATTATTTCCACTAGGCACTTGTGCACATAATGGGTGATACTACATAAATAACTGCATACACAGTACTGACAATAATATGTATGAAATAGTAATGCACTTAAATTGTAGTCAATAACCCATTCATTTCTATCACTACAAGTAGTTTGAAGTTTCATCTTATAGAGTACAGTAGTAAATTTCATATAGGAATGTCACTCTCTAGCTCTGTATACTGTAGTACAGTATATATGTTATTATTTTGAAATGATGAATAGTGTAAAGTAATGCATTAAAGTCATTCAAGCTTACTTAGTTTAATGCTTTTGTATTAAACGTAAGCTGCTAAATTTGTAGTTTAACTGAATATTTGTTGCAAATTACCAGCCAAAAATCTATTATGCCTGTGATTATAGTTTTTATCAAAGAAAATTGTGTAAAAAAATATTAAAATACTGCACTGGATATTCTTTATTGAGAATTTAAAACTGTAAATAAAATTTACATTTAATTCCACATATATTTAAAAGTTCACTAAAAATTTTCAGTTCATGTTTAGTTATTGTGCTATTGTAGATAATACAGTGCATAAAGTTTTTGCAGGTTCGAACTGGAGGTCGTATGAGAACTTTTAGTATCTTGGAAGAAGAGGAAGAGGAAGAAGAGCCAAGAGAAGAGATAGATGAGAAGAAGGAAGATGAAGACACATTGGATAAAGGACAGAGGTCTAGAAGTGGATCACGAAGTGGATCACGTAGTGGCTCCCGCAGTGGATCTCGAAGTGGGTCTAGAAGAGGATCAAGGGCATCGAGTAGCTCTTCCCTAAAGGATAAATGTGTAAGAGACATGAAGTTAGATTTATCTCTTCTTCATCGTCTTGAATGCGTTCGACGGGGCAGTGGTTCACATCAAGGCTCTCTACAAGGGTCAGCTGCCACATCACCTTCTGGTGATGATCCTCCTTTACCAGAGCCCCCTTTTCCTCCCTCTTCAAATATTGGGCTTGGACGGGGAAGGGCCAAGAGTGCTGGAACTTCTCCAGCCACAACCCCTCCAAACAGTTTAGTACCACCTACAAATATAAATAACAACAACAATAATAGTAGTAATAATAACAACAATCTTTCCACAGTTACCCAACAAGGGCCCACTCTACCACCCCCAAGAATTACCCCTCAATCTTCTGTATCCTCATCGCCAACATCTCAAGCATCTTCTCCAACCTCTCCAGGACCACAACAATTACCATCTTCACCAAAGAATCAGAGTTCTTTCTTTAACCATAAATTTAAAACTCTACCATCACCTAACCGGAGACTTCATTCTGTTAGGTCCTCACCACAGCTAATGCTAAATGAAATATTTGAAGAAGGCGAGTCAGATGGGGAAGGCAGTAGTGGGAACAGCCGTGTAGCCAGCACAACTTCTGGGAACAGCATTGGGGGTGCAGTTGCTTCTCCAGTTATTATGCGCAGACATCGCCTTGTTAGATCACGAACTGCATCATGTAGTTCTTCAGATGCCTCGGATGATGACCAGGATGCTCGAAAAAGGCGGCAGCAACGTGCACTCACACGGCACCTTACTCGAGACTCGCAAGAAGAACCATGTGATTCACAGGAACCATGCAGTGAAGCAATGGATGAACGACGGGATAATGATATGACATTAGAAGAACTTAATGATCAAATGCTTGTTCCACCTTCATTTGATTGCAATGGTAGCTTACAAGGGCAAGGCAATGCTCGTGGTAATAGACCTCTGTCTGCTGCTTGTGATGATGAACGTAAGAATGGACCTTTGAAGGAGGAGGCTGGTAGCACAGAAAATATGCTGGACATAGATACAACATTACGAGAAAGCCGTTCCTTAAATTGTATCGTTATGGCTAGTGGGGAACAGGAAGAACTTCCCTTGTGCAGTGTATCAGAAGCCTCGCTTCTTGACCAGTGTTCATCTAGCAATATAACTGTATCTACAGATAATGTTACTACAATATATATTGAAAATAAACCATCTGTTGAAACCGGAAATGATGGAAAGCTTGTTCAATCAAGAAATTTAGTGGGTGATCGTGTTGTGATCCGTGTAACTGATGATAATGGACAGTGCCAGGATTCCATTGTCGGAGATATAGATACACCAACTGACATAAAATGTTTTGCTCCAAAGGAGACAGGATCCCCTCTGGAAATTGGTGCTAATGATGTAGTAGTTGGGCTTGTGGACTCTCCCCGACCAGGTCGGCCAGTAGGGATTAGACCTGTATCAGATTCACAGGTAATCACTCGTCCACCACACTCCCCATCTTTGACCAAATCAGTGTCTCACATGGAATCTCTAAGTGCATGTGGGGAACGATCCTCCAATAAGTTCTCTTTGCGGACTAGTGCTACCAATGGATCGCTGATGCCTGGGCGGAACCACTATGTTATGGACATAAATCAGAATGCAGGACGAAAGAATCGTTCAGAAAAATCAAATGGTGCACTAGCAATACAAGGGACCTCAAAGTGCTGTAGTTTATCTTGAGGTACTGGATACAGTGTAGGAGAAATTACAGACCGTATTAAATAATAAACTTGTGCATTTGTGTTGTACGTTTCCCAAAATCCTTAAATATATCCAGGGGTACATATAAATAATGGAAATTGTTTGCAGGTGTAGACATTATTGAGTGTGATAAAATTGTGTTGTGTAAATAGAAGAGTCAACTATTTTGAGATGTAGATATGAATGAAATTTGTGTCCTCAGCCTGGCAGGTCCCAGGAATATGTGGATGATCACCTTGTTGACTGTCCCAACCACTGACAAGTGCCAGCTTTACTCCAGTGTATTTTCCATTCTATTGCTGTTGCAGTATATATTTTGGGCTGGTATGTCAGTAACTATCAACCAGAATAATATTTTAACATAAACTGCAGTGTCTGAAAATGAAATGTTGGTGTTGAATATAATGTTGATTCTTGGAAGTCTACAGGTTATTCCTCGTGAAAGTGTGTAAGAAGATGTAAATGTTATTGTTTTCATTGTATAGGTGCATACCTTACATACAACCAAATGATGGGATCTCACAATTAATAAGAAGCACAGCAAAGAATCTTATACAGTCAATATTTTTATAATATACTTCTTTGTACATAATTTTCAAGTTTGTTCAACTGGTGGCAATATTTTTGTGACTAAGAAATTTGAGCTCCATTGCCATATATTGTGGAGTTCTAAAATGTTAATTGCATAGATGAGTTGAACCCCTACTTGTGATTGGTCAAATTGTATTATCTTTCCTTCTCTCCTTTTCAAGTACTTATTATAATCTTGCCAACCCTAGTCAAGACCTAGTCTTTGTGTATACATGGAAGCTTAGCCGTCACAAAAGCTGGGGGTGTCTCTTGTCTGTTGGTCAGATTTATAAAGCCATTATCATTGAAGTTAAACCTTTTTATAATTTTTCATGGCAGTATTTCAACATAATCATTTTAATAATAGATTTGTACAAAGTACATATTGTAAAGTGACCTGTTGACATAGTGCTATAGTGTTGCATTCACTTTCAACCCTGGAAGGATCCGAATTTTAATTACAAATCGAGTGGTGCAACTCAACATTTTTATATTTAAGCAATACCTCTCTCAAATTCCCTCCATGAAATGTCATGTGAACTAAATATTAATAGAGCATCCTACCTTTTATTTTATCCAATCAGAATCTGCTACAGTTTTTCCAATATCAACTGCAACAATTTCATTTGACATATTTCCATTACATATGAGGAAAAGATAATATTGGTACCTATGGCTCATAATTACTAATTTCATCACAATGTAAAGAAAATTACCCTTTATTAGGTATAGTTTTATGTTCTTTGTTAGATAGTACAGTATGTGGCTTAAGATATTTATTTAATTTTTGTTTTGCTTTAATTGTTGTAATAATACATGTTATAGTCAAGCATTGCATACTCAAAATTCTGTACAGTCATAAGCGAGGTCTTATTTTAGTTTACCATGGGGCTTGGTAGTGAACCAGTTGACAAAGGATGCCTATGGAAGTGAAAGTGTGGGAAAAGTCACATGGGTTATTACCTGTGCGCTCTTTCAGGATTCTTCGCTGCACTCTCACTGTATCACTACTAGTACTCTACTACACTCTCTCCTCATTTCCCTCTCAGTAAATGCTGTTTTTTTTTTAATCTGTCATTTCTGTATTATTAACTTTTAATTCCCTCATCTATATTTTTATTGAGGCAATCTGCATTCTTTCTTCATTCTTGTTTCTCAAAGCAAACAAGTCATGGTTGCTTCACTTGTGTGATACAGTAGCCAAATTAGCATGTGCTGATCTTTTAACAAGTGTTTTGATTGGTCCTTCGAACATTTTTATAATTTGGAGTCACTTTGAAAATATCTAAAATTTTGAAGTTTGTCACTCCATCAAGGAAGGGAAGGGAAGTTAAGGGAAAGTACCAAATTCAGTAACACAGCAGTGATACAGAGATTCTCCATTCCATGCTACCAGCCTGTGTCTTTTCCAGATAATTGCATTTGTGACATGATTGGTGATAATTAGTTGTAGACGGTTCTCTTTCTTAGAATATTACGTTTTTTGTAATTAGAGAAGTTAAATTTCTTAGGACTCCAGATTGATGCCATACAGTATTTGATAATGATTACATGTGCACATCTTTCTGTAAGATTATTTTTGTCTGGTGTGACGAATTTTATGTAATGGTATTGGCAAGTTTTGGCCATAAATAACTTGAGTGCTACACTAAGGCTCTTATTTTACCATACATAATATTTATGAAGATGATGGAAGTCTGAGCATTATAAATACAGGATGCAGGAGTAGCTGCAGGAAGTCAAGTATAATAATAATTAGTTGATTGAAGTGTAATGTGGTATGTGTGTGTATTTTTTGTAAGCAATGATAAGCAAACACAGGAATATATAATTACACTGTATTGCCTTTTGGTAAATATGTTTTGTTGATTGCATTGTGCTTTAATGAATTACTGTAAAAAGACAACATATTATTAGTCTTAATTTGTTAAAATGTATGAAGTATTTTGATTTAATACTTATGACATATTACATTATGATTTTCAAAGTTGATATAGATATTAATTCTGAAAATTCTTGTGCCAGATAATGGGTTATTAATTTCTTGTACTTCACATGTTTGTATGTTAAATAGTTTTTTAAATATGTAACATCTGTATTTGTGTGTGTGAATGGTACTCCATATAATTATACAGTTGTGTGTTTTTGAATCTGTTTGATTATGTTTAGTACATGCAAGATTATTTATGATGTGAATGAATGTGAAAATCATGTAAAAAAATGCATGAAATCAGTTTCAATATCTTGACATGGGTTCAAGATTTGTTGATACTGATTTTGTGATCACCATTGAGAGCATGTGTCAGTTGTTCAGACTGTAATGTATGTATTCTTGCAGGATAAAAAAAATTAGTACCGGTAAACCTAGATATAGTGAGTCTACAGTTCATCAGTCTTCTCTTCTTTACTTAAAATGAACTTTGATTAAATTATTGTCTTGTTACTAATGATCTATTTTAATCCAATTAAACTTATTTTACTAAGGATTAAACCTACTTTGTTTAATCAGCTTGTACTTGCTTGGCTAGGAGCTGTTTTCCACCAAATTCTATATTGAAGCCCACCATTATATCTAGGTGATTACTTATGGCTGCCTCTTGTAGCTGATGTGTTGTGCCTTTTGTTAGCACCAGTGTCCAGTAGCAGCAGACTAGTAACCAAGGGATGTATCAGTGAACACATAACTAAGGAATATATATATCTGTCAACAAGCTTGAGATCAATTAGAGCATGATCCCATATATATTTACTAATAATGTTTTACTAAAGACAAAATATTTGCTACAACTTATTGGTCAGTATACAGTTCCTGACCATCCAATACATGATCTCATGAATATGTAGTAAGTTGGCTGTGCATACTGCAGTTGCGTGTTACCATTGTTGATAAAGATGGAAATTATAAATATTAAAACAAAATGGAAAGAATCAAGTTATTGCACATTGGGTAACACTAAATTATTTTTATTAATAAAATCCTTCATTGTGCATTATATTAATTTCTTAATATTTTATTCTCAAATTCTACTTGTATACTGTACTTGATATATTCAATACTGAACCTAATTTGCCTTAAGAAATATATTAAATGCCATATTTATTTCTTAAGTAGACCACTGATGTAATTGATGAAGGCTTCAAGAAGTTTTTTATAAGCATAAGATCATACACAGATTTTAAATATGGTAAGTAGATGACATTTATAATACATGTAAAAAAAACTCCAGCTTCTATAAAGATACAATAGCTTAGAATTGATAACCAATTCAATTCTATTTTGTATATTCCCATGATGTTTGGCTTGTATTTTTAAGAAGTCCGGTTTTAACAGAAGTTTCTATGGGGAGCCCTGTTGGCTCCTTGAAGCTATCCATACTGATACAGTGCTATATTAGTTTGGGTCATCAGTTGCAGATGATTAATACAAGCTGCCCACCATCCAGTTCCTGACTGATGTGCTTGGCAGTTGGATGTCGTCTCTGGCTACAATTTCCTGATCTGGATGTTTTGCTCCGTGAGGCTGTTCCTGCACTTGTGGTGTGCATTGGCCAGGTGTTCTAAGTGTACTGGAACTGTATGTGCCTAGGGACACCTTCCCTAGATGCTCTGTAAGTACTGTCCTTGTGTGGTCAGGGTTATCTTCCCTAGGGCATTCAGGATTCACTCCCTGTTAGAGGGCTTTCTCACTTGTGGTTGTCTTTGCCCTTGGGGGTGCACTGAGGTCTTGGGTTTCTGCCTTGCCCCCAGGTAGGGAAATGTTTATCAGCTGGTGGGGTGTACTGCAGCTGGCGCAGCCTGCTTAAACTATCCTGCGGCAGCTGATGTTTCTCTCCGACAGCTTGTTGACTGTTGTGAAGTTTACGGGGTTTCTTGTTTTGTAGGTCTTCTTGGACCTCGTTATTGTTGTTAGAATTGGAATTATTACTATTGTGTGATGCATTGGATGCACTATGTTCTCCAGTTTGTACTGTAGGGTTTGAGTTACAATATTCTAGGAAACTCATCCTCAGGCTATGCTTGTCCAAACTGCAGCGTCCCCAAATGTACATCAGCCAGTTTTTTAGTACTGTACTGTGTAATAAATTTTTTGGAAATATTTTTGGAAATATAACTTAATATTATTACATAATATATTTTTGTGTATACAGTAATTACAGTGGATATATTAAATGTTTTGATTCTGTTTCCAATTAGGTGTATTCACAATGCATGGGTGAAGCAATTAGAGAGGTATACTTTGAATATAATAAGTGTGCAAAACATTAACCCTTAAGCTGTTACAGCCTTAACACTTTCGCTCAGTAATGACGCAGTATAGTGTAAAAAATTTAGTAGGCGAATGTTCGGTAACGACGCAGTATGGCGTCAAAAATTTTAAAATTTGGCCTGCTTTCGGCTTGGCTGCAGGAGGGGCGCGCCGCGGTTTTGGACATTATATGCATATACTGTACTCCTGTAGGGAATTTCATTGTGAATACCAAAATGAAAGACCTAGGACCAGAATTGAGGTAACAAAGTTGAAAAAGAGTATGCACATTTTATTGCTCTTGATGAGCGCTCACGGGGGTAACGCTCCTTCACTTTCTCTTGTTTGCTGTGGGTGGTCCAATGGGCTTTTGGACTTTATATTTGCATATACTCATGTAGGGAATTCTATTGTGAACACAATGATACCAAAATTAAAGACTTAGGACGAGAATTGAAGTGACCAAAGTGAAGAGAGTGCACACATTTTATTGCTCTTGCACGCTCCCGGGTAACACGCTCTCACTTTCTCTGTTTGTTGCGGATGGTACACCAGGCTTTTAGGCTTTGTATGCGTTTAGTCCTGTAGAGAAATCTATTGCGAACACATTGATACCAAATTTAAAAACCTAGGACGAGAATTGAGATGACAAAGTTGAAAAGAGTATACATTTTTCAGTATTACCGCGCGCTCTAATGGAATGCGTGACGCAGCGCTCTCTTTCAGGTAACCTAGGCCTACTTTCACCTTGTCGGTGGGTGGAGCGTGCCGCGGTTTTTGACATAAAATGCATATACTCCTGTAGGGAATTCTATTGCGAACACATTGATACCAAAATGAAAGACCTAGGACATGAATTGAGGTGACCAAAGAGAAAAGAGTGTACACATTTTATTGCTCTTGCGCGCTCTCGGGGTAACACGCTCTCACTTTCTCTGTTGTGGATGGTACGCCGGGCTTTTGGCCTTTATATGCATTTAGTCGTGTAGAGAATTCTATTGCAAACACATTGATATCAAATTGAAAAACCTAGAATGAGAATTGAGATGACAAAGTTGAAAAGAGTATACACTTTTCAGAATTACCACGCACTCCCGTGGAATGCCAGGACCACCTTGGGGTGGCACAGCACTCTCTTGCCCAGAATACCAAAGTGTTAATTTAATACAGACAAAGAAATTAGAGAAATACTAAAAAAGTATGAGGACATGTTTAGCATTCCAATAAAAAGCATTGAAATGGAAGATCTGGACAGCTTCTTTATGTACAATTTCCAAACCCCCTGACAATATAGCTTCTACGTATTACCATGAACTCTCAAAATATGCAGAGAGAAATTGATAAAACTCGGCATGAAAATTACTTTTGCAGAAGACAATGAAAAACTATAAGCTGATATAAATAAAGTTCTCGATTGGGCAGCAGAAAATAACATGGTTTAACAGTGATGAGTTCCAGGTCCTTTGGTAAGAATGAAGACCCTAAAGAAAACATAAGGTACAAAACACAATCAAACCTGCCTATAGTAGGAAAGAAATATGTAAAGGATCTGGGAATAATGATGACTGATGACCTAATGTTTAGTGAGCATCAACAAGCAAATCACTTCAGTTAGTTGCTGAAACCAGCAACTCGAGAACAAGAGGTTACAGATTCAAGCTAAGGAAACAAAAGTGCCGAAAAAATATTAGAAAGTTTGCCACTCTCGAAACAGAGTGGTAGATGGTTGGAATAAGTTAAGTGAGAAAGTGGTAGAGGCCAAAACTGTCAGAAATTTCAAAGCATTATATGACAAAGTACTGGGAAGATGGGACACCACGAGCATAGCTTTCATTGTGTAACTGTACTTGGGTAATTACACTTAAGTAATTACCAGTTGAATGACAGTCGAGGGGCGGGACCAAAAAAGAGCCGAAACTCGTCCCCTTACAAGGACAATTAGGTGAGTACATGTATATAATTAATGTTTATCATATTTTGAGTTCCCTTAATCACTGGGATGCTCGGCTTCCAAATACGGCACCCCCCAGTTGCGCAGGAAATTAATTCTCTCTATAAAAAAAAAAAAATCCAAAGTGTCAAAATCCCTTCCCTGTGTATGCATATGTAAACAAAAATCAAAATTGTACTTATTTTGGCTGCTATGGGGTCCATAAGTTTGTGCGTGACGTCATCATTCCCTTGTCGCCCATGGCGTACGCTCCCAGGGCCAATAGGGCGCCCAGCCCAAGATGCGCAAGTTGCCACAAATATATTTTTGTTCATTTTTTGCGCACAGTTCCAAATACATTTTTTTGTTTTTCGTGCCAATTCTATGTATAATGAACACGTACACTATATTATGGCAGTAGAACATCCATAATGGTCGAAGACACTGTGTAGGCGACTGTGCAGGCGATGAATCACAATAACGTGGCTGAAGTATGTTGATCAGACCACACACTAGAAAGTGAAGGGACGACGATGTTTCGGTCTGTCCTAGACCATTCTCAAGTCGATGAGCATCATTAGAAGACACTGTGTTATGTGCATGACACGTGTAAACATATCCTGCACATATTTCCAATATATCATGCTAATTTATTTATATTTACAATCTATATACACACACCATAAACACATTCAGAACTCTGCGAGTGTGTGATATACTGCAAAACAGCCAACGGGGCATAGTGGAACCTTGCACTCCACGCACCAGGTGCTGATGCATCTTCGCTTTTGTTCTCTTCGGATAGTGTTCCTGCATACTGCACAGGCATGTTTACCCTTCTCCCGTGATGCTGTGCCTAGCATATACTCGAACATGTGGACACCAAAACTCTCGTTACCCCTCAGTCTGTCTGGAGCTGCATGTGACATTGTTGCTTGCACCCCGCGCAGTGCAATAGAGCCCTTCTTGCCATACTTTACTAGAAGTTGTGACAACACCAACACTGAATGTCCGTATTGGCAGTCTCCTGCCTGATGTTACCAGGTACATTTTGAAGCAGTTGAGCACTGCAACATCTATTCGGTGGAAAAAGAACTTTTTCGTTCACTTCACAGACTTGCACACACACTCCACTGCACTGAGCATCATGTCACATTTATCCATGAGGCGCATGTTCACGTTGTAGTCTATGACACAGTCTGGTTCATAAATGGGGAAGCACATTTGAAAGTGGACTTTACCACTGTCCAACATGGCATCGGTGTGA